TACACATGAGTCACTACCTGTATTATAACCAACACATGAGTCACTACCTGTAATATAACCTACACATGAGTCACTACCAGTTTTATAACCTACACATGAGTCACTACCTGTAATATAACCTACACATGAGTTACTACCTGTATTATAACCGACACATGAGTCACTACCTGTATTATAACCTACACATGAGTCACTAGCTGTAGTATTATAACCTACACATCAGTCACTACCTCTATTATAACCTACACATGAGTCACTACCTGTATCATAACCTATAGCATGAGTCACTACCCGTATTACAACCTACACATGAGTCACTACCAGTATTATAACCTACACATGAGTCACTACCTGTATTATCAGTTACACATGAGTCACTACCTGTAATATAACCTGCACATGAGTCACTACCAGTATTATAACCTACACATGAGTCACTACCTGTATTATAACCAACAGATGGGTCGCTACCTGTATTATAACCTACACATGAGTCACTACTAGTAATATAACCTACACTTGAGTCATTACGTGTAATGTAACCTACACATGAGTCACAATATGTATTATAACCTACATTAGAGTCACTACCTGTATTATAACCTACACATGAGTCGCTACCTGTACTATAACCTACACATGAGTCACTACCTGTATCCTAACCCTTAACATGAGGCAATACCCGCATTACAACCTACACATGAGTCACTACCAGTATTATAACCTACACATGAGTCACTAATTGCATTATAACCTACACATGAGTCACTACCTGCATTATAACTTACACATGAGTCACTACCTGTAATATAACCAGCACATGAATCGCTACCTGTATTATAACTTACACATGAGTCACTATCTGTAATATAACCTACACATGAGTCACTACCTGTATTATAACCTTCTCATGAGTCACTACCACTATTATAACCTACACATGAGTCACTACCTGTATTATAACCAACACATGAGTCACTACCTGTAGAATAACCTTCACATGAGTCACTACCTGTATTATAACCTTCACATGAGTCACTTCCTGTATTATAGCCTTCACATGAGTCACTACTTGTATTATAACCTTCACATGAGTTATTACCTGTATTATAACCTACACATGAGTCACTACCTGTATTATCAGTTACACATGAGTCACTACCTGTAATATAACCTGCACATGAGTCACTACCTGTATTATAACCTACACATGAGTCACTACCTGTAATATAACCTGCACATGAGTCACTACCTGTATTATAACCTACACATGAGTCACTACCTGTAGTATAACCAACAGATGGGTCACTACCTGTATTATAACCTACACATGAGTCACTTCCAGTAATATGACCTACACTTGAGTCACTACTTGTAATATAACCTACACATGAGTAACTATATGTATTATAACCTACACTAGAGTCACTACCTGTATTATAACGTACACATGAGTCATTACCTGTAGTACTATAACCTACACATGAGTCACTACCTGTAAAAAAAACTACACACGAGTCACAACCTGTAATATAACCTACACATGAGTCACTACATGTATTATAACCTACACATGCGTCACTACCTCTATTATAACCTACACATGAGTCACTACCTGTATCATAACCTATAACATGAGTCACTACCCGTATTACAACCTACACATGAGTCACTACCAGTATTATAACCTACACATGAGTCACTACCTGTATTATCAGTTACACATGAGTCACTACCTGTAATATAACCTGCACATGAGTCACTACCTGTATTATAACCTACACATGAGTCACTACCTGTAGTATAACCAACAGATGGGTCGCTACATGAATTATAACCTACACATGAGTCACTACCTCTATTTTAACCTACACATGAGTCACTACCTGTATCATAACCTATAACATGAGTCAATACCCGTATTACAACCAACACATGAGTCACTAAAAGTATTATAACCTACACATGAGTCACTAACTGCATTATAACCTACACATGAGTCACTACCTGCATTATAACTTACACATGAGTCACTATCTGTAATATAACCAGCACATGAGTCGCTACCTGTATTATAACTTACACATGAGTCACTATCTGTAATATAACCTACACAAGAGTCACTACCTGTATTATAACCTTCTCATGAGTCACTACCACTATTATAACCTACACATGAGTCACTACCTGTATTATAACCAACACATGAGTCACTACCTGTATTATAACCTACACATGAGTCACTACCTGTATTATAACCAACACATGAATCACTACCTGTATTATATCCTACACATGAGTCACTACCTGTAATATAACCTACACATGAGTCACTACCTGTATTATAACCTTCTCATGAGTCACTACCAGTCTTATAACCTACACATGAGTCACTACCTGTATTATAACCTGCACATGAGTCACTACCTGTATTATAACCTACACATGACTCACTCCCTGTATTATAACCAACACATGAGTCACTACCTATATTATAACCTACACATGAGTCACTACCTGTATTATAACCTTCACATGAATCACTACCTGTATTATAACCTACACATGAGTCACTACCTATATTATAACCTACACATGAGACAATACCTGCATTATAACTTACACATGAGTCACTACGTGTATTATAGCCTACACATGAGTCACTTCCTGTAATATAACCTGCACAAGAGTCACTACCTATATTATAACTTACACATGAGTCACTACCTGTAGTATAACCAACAAATGGGTCACTACCTGTATTATAACCTACACATGAGTCACTACCTGTAATATAACCTGCACATGAGTTACTACCTGTATTATAACCTACACATGAGTCACTACCTGCATTATAACCTACAATTAAGTCACTACCTGTAGTATTATAACCTAAACATGAGTCACTGCCTGTATTATAACCTACACATGAGTCACTACCTGTATTATAACCTACACATGAGTCACTACCTGTATTATAACTTACACATGAGTCACTACCTGTATTATAACCTACACATGAGTCACTATTTGTAATATAATCTGCACATGAGTCACAACCTGTATTTTACCTACACATGAGTCACTACCTGTATTATAACCAACACATGAGTCACTACCTGTAATATAACCTACACATGAGTCACTACCAGTTTTATAACCTACACATGAGTCACTACCTGTAATATAACCTACACATGAGTTACTACCTGTATTATAACCGACACATGAGTCACTCCCTGTATTATAACCTACACATGAGTCACTAGCTGTAGTATTATAACCTACACATGAGTCACTACCTCTATTATAACCTACACATGAGTCACTACCTGTATCATAACCTATAGCATGAGTCACTACCCGTATTATAACCTACACATGAGTCACTACCAGTATTATAACCTACACATGAGTCACTACCTGTATTATCAGTTACACATGAGTCACTACCTGTAATATAACCTGCACATGAGTCACTACCAGTATTATAACCTACACATGAGACAATACCTGCATTATAACCTACAAATGAGTCACTACCTGTATTATAACCTGTAACATGAGTCACTACCCGTATTATAACCTACACATGAGTCACTACCTGTATTATACCCTACACATGAGTCACTACATGTATTATAACCTACACATGAGTCATTACCTGTATTATAACCTGGACAAGAGTCACTACCTGTAGTATTTTAACGTACACATGAGTCACTACCTATATTATAGCCTACCCATGAGTCTGTACCTGTAGTATTTTAACGTACACAGAGTCACTACCTGTATTATAACCTACACATGAGTCACTACCTGTATTATAACCTCCACATGAGTCACTACCTGTATTATAACCTAGACATGAGTCAGTACCTGTAGTATTTTAGCGTACACAGAGTCACTACCTGTATTATAACCTACACATGAGTCAGTACCTGTAGTATTATAACCTACACACGAGTCACTACCTGTATTATAACCTACACATGAGTCACTACCTGTATTATAACCTACACATCAGACAGTACCTGTAGTATTATAACCTCCACATGAGTCACTACCTGTATTGTAACCTTCACATGAGTCACTACCTGTATTATAACCAACACATGAGTCATTACCTGTATCATAACCTACACATGACTCACTACCTGTATTATAACTTACACATGAGTCACTACCTGCATTACAGCCTACACATGAGTCACTACCTGCATCATAACGTACACATGAGTCACTACCTGTAATATAACCTACACATGAGTCACTACCTGCATTATAACGTATATATGAGTCACTACCTGTATTATAACCTACACACGAGTCACTACATGTATTATAATTTACACCTGAGTCACTACCTGTATTATAGCCTACACATTAGTCACTACCTGTAATATATCCTACACATGAGTCACTACCTGTATTATAACCTACACATGAGTCACTACCTGTATTATAACCTACACATGACTCACTACCTGTATTATAACTTACACCTGAGTCACTACCTGTATTATAGCCTACACATTAGTCACTACCTGTAATATATCCTACACATGAGTCACTACCTGCATCATAACCTACACATGAGTCACTACCTGTAATATAACCTACACATGAGTCACTACCTGCATTATAACGTACATATGAGTCACTACCTGTATTATAACCTACACACGAGTCACTACGAGTATTATAATTTACACATGAGTCACTGCCTGTATTATAGCCTACACATTAGTCACTACCTGTAATATATCCTACACCAGAGTCACTACCTGTATTATAACCTACACATGAGTCACTACCTGTATTATAACCTACACATGAGTCACTACCTGTATTATAACATACACATGAGTCAATACCTGTATTATAACCTACATATGAGTCAGTACCGGTATTATAACCTACACTTGAGTAAGGTGTTACTTAATCTACCAACATGTGTTACTTACTCTACCAACATGTGTTACTTACTCTACCAACAGATGTTACCCGGGCTACTTCGTAAACGGCAACATAAGTTGGACTGAACAGGGCACGACATGTCTTGGTCAGATGGGAGGTTGGACGGCTGTATCTATACTCAACTGTACAGCGATCGACGGTGAGATGTTTCTCTCTTATCTCTTAAGCTAGCTATGTTTCAGTGACCTTTTTATCTCTCCCTATCCCTATCTCTTTTTGTTATATTTTACTGCCCTTTGCTATGTCTCATTGTCTCTCACTCCTCTCTACTATATCTTACTGCCATTTGCTATGTATCATTATCTCTCACTCCTCTCTACTATATCTTACTGCCCTTTACTACGTCTCATTGTCTCTCACTCCTCTCTACTATATCTTACTGCCCTTTACTAACTCATTGTCTCTCACTCCTCTCTACTATATCTTACTGCCCTTTGCTATGTCTCATTGTTTCTCACTCCTCTCTACTATATCTTACTGCCATTTGCTATGTATCATTATCTCTCACTCCTCTCTACTATATTTTACTGCCCTTTGCTATGTCTCATTGTCTCTCACTCCTCTCTACTATATCTTACTGCCATTTGCTATGTATCATTATCTCTCACTCCTCTCTACTATATTTTTCTGCCCTTTGCTATGTCTCATTGTCTCTCACTCCTCTCTACTATATCTTACTGCCATTTGCTATGTATCATTATCTCTCACTCCTCTCTACTATATCTTACTTCCCTTTACTATGTCTCATTGTCTCTCACTCCTCTCTACTATATCTTACTTCCCTTTACTATGTCTCATTGTCTCTCAATCCTCTCTACTATATCTTACTGCCCTTTACTATGTCTCATTGTCTTTCACTCCTCTCTACTATATCTTACTGCCTTTCACAATGTCTCATTGTCTCTCACTCCTCTCTACTATATCTTACTGCCCTTTACTATGTCTCATTGTCTCTCTCTCCTCTCTACTATCCCTTACTGTGCTTTGCTACGATTCATTGTCTCTTACTACTCTTACTGTCTCTCATCATTTCTCACTCCTCAAAAAGAATTTGAACCTTGCCTTGGGAAATTACATATGTATGTAAGCGTTTCAGAATACCCTCACCGTCTCTCCATAGAATCCGCGACCATATAAGAACCTTTAGGAATTCTGATTCCTCTCCCTGACTTAAGAAATCGACTCCATGTTCATATAAAACAGAATTCTAACTTCGTGGCATCTTTTGTTGTTGTTTTAATGCTCTGACATCATTTATGTAAAAAGTCCATCTCGGCACAGGTCATCGACCCACAACGGAGCCTAGGGGACGAAAAATTAAGAGTAAGATAAAATAAAAAATAGAAAAGAAAAGGCCACTTGTAAAGGCCTGGGACTTAGGGATATGAATCCCTTGCCAGCCTAATCAGGATCTTATAAAAGGAAAGTCAAGAACCGTCGTGGCATAATTATCTTAAGCGCCCGTATCGTTTACTTTACCAACAGTGTGTAACGCCTCCTCACTACCAAGCTGGCCTGAGGTGGTGACCGAGGTGAGTGAGAACCACCAGACCCTCAACGGCAGTATCAACTTCACCTGCCTGGATAACATGGCCACCATCCAGAATATTTCTGTGCAGGTGATCAACTGTATCAACCAGACCGACCCAGCTGTACCTTACGCTTACCTTCCCCCACCTGAACCTTGCAACCGTGAGTCTTGGGGAACCTTGGGTGTAGAGAGGGGGGGGGGCGGGAATAGGGAGAAGCTTTTTAATTTTAGGTGTAGGTGGGTAAGATAGGGTAGTGGGTAACGTAGGTGAATGGGGAATGTGGTTTCATGTGTATTTGGGATTAACAAAGGTGATGGAGATTAGGTGGTTTAAGGTGTTGCTGGAAACAAACTAGGTGAAGAGAATTAAGTTATTATAGGAGTAAGTTAGATGAAGTTAGTTGACGAGGTGATAATCTCTGTGTAGGGTGAAGGTGACTCTGAGTGTAAGTAATGAAGTGTGACAAATAATTCAGGCGTTATTATGTACAGCACCATTTCATAAAAGATAAAATGCCTGTAGGAGAGAGAGAGAGAGATACTAAAGCAAGCTACGCTGTACAGGATGCATAGGTATACCTGAGGTGACGAACGCTGACACGGACTGGACCGAGACAGCTACTTACCTCGTCAACACCACCGTCACCGCCACCTGCAACGTCAGTCACCTCTTTAACTTCACTACTGACCTCCTCACCCTCGCCTGCACCGCTCTGGGCTGGGATACCTTGCCACCCTGCTACCCTGGTAAGTACACCTGGCTACGCGTGTCCCATCACACACTTGCCCACACCTGTCCCATTACACACCTGTCTACACCTGTCCCATCACACACGTGGTTACACCTGTCCCATCACACACCTGGCTACAACTGTCTTTCACACTCCTGGCTACACCTGTCCCATCACACACCTTGCTACACCTGTCCACACACCTGGCTACAATTGTCTTTCACACTCCTGGCTACACCTGTCTCAATAAATATACAATAATGAAGTATTACCATTAATTTGAAGGAGTTGCTACAGCGAGGCCGAAGCGCCACTTGATGGCAGTGCGACCAACTTTCCACAGAAAACGTCTTTTATATGATGGGAAACTATTACTGTTTATTGAGCTACAGTTTTTTGAGCCTCAAAGAAGAGGTACGCATGATCGTCATAGAAAAAATGCAGTATAAAATAGTTTACTTGAACTAAATTAACTGCATAAACCATTACCTAAGAAAATATTAGTATGAGCTTTATGAAGCTTACATTATAAGTAACGAATGGGCATTAAACGGAAATATTTAATGTCTTAAGATTTTATTCCTTGGCACTAAAAAATTTAAGATTTCTTATAAATACAAAGGGTAAAACAGGTGTCACAACTTAAGGCTGAAGGAGCCACAAGTCAGAAAACTGTTAGGTCAAACTTTTTTGTAGAATATTGTGATGGCACCGAGAGTAACCTCTTTCAAGACCAGACTTGACCAACACACAGCGGATGTACAGTTACATTCAGTAGCCAGTACATGCCCAGTACTTGCCAACAATGCGTAACAGAGACGTGACCGATCGCCCAAGCGGTTAATGTGCCGATCAGTGATCATTTATCCAGGCGGTGAATATGGAAAATATTTTGTTTCCATATTCAGTATAAATATGATATAAACGAGGTGACTGTGAATGTTATTTCAATTCATAATTTTTTATTCGATACATATTTCAGCATAGCACAACAATATAGCTATTCACTTTGATGTCCGATTTTAAATCCTTAAATTATTCCTGAATGTTCCTGAGCAATAGTCTGTCGTGGTATAATATTTTGTTTGGAAGTAAACTAAAATTTAACTACACGATCTGTTCTTACAATATTCCTATGAAAAACTGTTTTAGCATTGATGAATTACCTTCTGTTACATTTTCACAAAGTTACGTTCAACTTCCAAAAATAAAAGTGAAAATGTTATTCTGGAGATTCCAAGATGTAAACAAAGCAGACGACAGATGGTGACACTGGCGTCACCTTACGCCAGAGCAAATAACTAAAACAGGCTTAGTTGGCACCATACTATTCTTCGAGAGCTATATTTCCATATTGGATATTCCTAGACCTGGCTACACCCATCCTCTCATACACCTGGCTACACCTGTCCTTTCAAACGCCTGGCTCCATTTATCCTCTCACACACCTGGCTACACCTATCCTTTCACACATTTCTTCCTTCATAAACGCTACCTACACCTGTCCCTTCATACATGCAACAGGTAGTTCTATCCAGCCGATTACCACTTCATGTAACAGGCAGTTACCACTTCCAGTCTGTGTTCCAGGCAGTGATATTACATATATACAGTAGGTATCGTTATCACTGTCTCCTTTATATGTTCCAGTTCAGTGGAGATTAGAGCTATCCCCACCGCTGACACCTTAATGTTCCTGGAGTGGGTGTTTGTACACCTCCTGCTAACATCTATGTACTAGCTGGTGTTCCCTCCGGCTGGCACTGTACCTTGTAACTCTTGTAGTTACTTTTTAGTTCTTTCACAGTAATTAATGTACACACAAACACTATCTGGCCTTTCTATTTCATTACTAAAATATAGCACACTCTATGGTTATTACGTAATTACGAATCAAACGGATGAAAGCAGCTGTCTACAGGGCTGGGCACTTGGTGATGACCCGTGTAAATCAGAGGTGCGTGGAGGACATGGGCATGTCATTCAACACGTGAGAAGGAAGTGATAAGCTATATTTAGTTACTGATTAATTCGAGTAGCGTAGTTTACATATTTGCTACAAGTAAATAGCTCATATTTATATAAATACTACTATCTATATTATTTGAGAAACTTGTTTTTCACTGAATGTTTATTATTATATCAACGTTGTTAATGTTTTCTCATTTTGACTGTTGATCACATTATTAAACAACAAATTTTAATTTCTTGGTGAATGTTTAAATAAATACATTTATACATTGGTGTGATTATAATGGCTTGAAATGAAAATAGTCGAAATTATGTTTCAGGAAACCGACGATAATATAGTGCTTCTTTAGTTGACTGACAGGCAGTTTTTCACATTTATATATCAATTATACAGGGTGTCCATTAATGATTACCCTAAAACAGTATGCTCTCATGTTTTAATCAGGGTAATCATTTATGGACACCCTGTATTTCATTTAAAATTTGTATAAGCACCTCCAGCCTCGATCACGTTGTTTAGCCTAAGAGGCATAGATGTCACCACGTCTCCAGTCAAGTCCCGTCCAGCCCGGCTTCCAAATTGTTCCCAGGAATGTAATGTAGTATATTTGGTGCTATGGGTTTCCATCTTCTGCATCATTACTGCATTTTGAAAAAATAAATAAATGCAGACTTTTTTACTAGAATAAGAGAAATGACGTCACAATCGTGCTTACCAACCCTATCGAGATGTCAGGCGAGGTAGTGTTCATTTTGAAATTCATCGCACCGAGAGGTAAAAGTAATTTATGGTCTGCTGTACGGTACGTCTAGCTACACCTGTCCTTCATACACCTGGTTTACCTGTCTTACATACGTCTAGCTACACCTGTCTTACATACGCCTAGCTACACCTGTCCTCCATACACCTAGCAACATCTGTTTTACATACCTGTCTAACTTCACCTGTCCTTCATACACCTGGTTATACCCGTCTTACATACGCCTAGCTATATCTGTCATTCATACACCTGGCAACACCTGTCTTACATACGTCTAGTTACACCTGTATCCTAATTATCTAAATACAAAAAAATACATGTCACTGTAAGTTTCATATGCATTTCAACAGTTTTGTAGAGAGTTAAAATTTGGTAGAAAGATGTGGGTGACCTAGAAGAAGGTCTCTATACGTAAGTTGGGTCGGCCCTGCAGGAGCCGACCCTCTCCTCCACTCCCCTACCACATTTATGGTTATGGGGCCACGGCTGGGATTTTGTTGAATTAATAACCCGGGTAAAGCCGTGTAAATGAAGTAGTTACTATATTTGTTTTATTATTAAGTATTATTATTTATTGCATTATTATTATTATTGTTATCATTATCATAAATAATACTAGTAAGGGGTGACGACAAGTGTTGGTCCCTTCCGCAGCCTGTGTGGCGGACCCCCCTGCAGTGGTCGGTAACTTAGAGAGAGACAACATTACCGATAACAGTGTTGGCGTTACCATAGGCTACAGGTGTCTTCCACTCATGTTCTTCCCTCCAACGCCAGTAAGTAACTACTCACCTAACACTGGATTTTCACAGATTTGTACAGTACCTCCCCAGGTCACTTCCTCCCCAGCAACACACTCTAGCGACCGCCTTATTTCAGCGACCACCTTTTATCAATAATTCCCACGTCGATGAGAAGGAGGATTTGGTTCGTCACACTACTACTACTACTACTACTACTACTACTACTTTTTTTTTTAATGGCCTCCAGCCTCCCCCAATAGCCACACCTTCGCCACAATTTAATTACCTTAATATTAAATATCCTAATACATAAGAAGCTTTCCTATCTGTGTTAAATTAGTTGAGCCGCAGATCTATGCGGCATTCAGCGACAGTAGCCTCATAGTCAATATCTGCAGCAGTTGTCGGAGTTGGGGCAGAAGCTCTCGTTCCCCTGAGGCAGAGCAAAGCCGACCGAAGGAGAGAGAAAGACAGTCGACATCCCATCCAGGCTGTAACATAACTTCTGGGCTGCTGCTTCTGTTCGGAGATCAACTCCGCGAGTCTGGCGTAGAAACATCTTGCACATGGTCTCATCCCACCAGAGGTTGTGAACACTAGAGGAGTGAAGCTGCCTTGATCAACGTTTTGAATTCTCTCCCCATATGCCCTTCTCTTGTCGTTCTCGTTCCTCCCATGTGCAGCATCAAGAGCTAGGTTACGGTGACATGCGGCCATGGGATCAAAAATCCTGATGTCGAAGAAAGCTCGCTGTCCCAGCGTCCAGAATCCTCGAGCACTGATGTCCACACGGGCTTCGTTAGTTGTGTTTGAAGTCCTGTGTTGGAAGATCTCACCATCCAATGGAAGGAGAGTCGGTTCTACCATGACGTCCCGGCAGATTTCCTTCAACATATTTGCTGTGAGATCCCTTACCTCGTCATGCCTCATGCATATGAAACCCCCCTTCTTGCACACCATGGCGTGATCGCCATCCTAGGAAGAGCCACACACGCATTGGGAGGGCAAACCTTCTACTGGCCGAACGTACTTTAGAGCAATGGCATCTGTAAATTCTTGTTTATCAAGACTGAAACCATTTGCCCTTATCGGTAACGTAGTTAACCAGTTCGAGGCGCCCACCTCCTGCGCTATTGCTACTTTTTTTTTCAAATTTTCTGGAACCTGCAGCAATAGTTGCTGCAACTTATCATTTTGGCAGTGCTGTCGATCTGTCGTAATGGACCTACGAATCTTATTTACTTCGCTGGTATCCACTTCCCCTGTTGCATTCTGGGCTATTATGTGGTCCGTGAGGGCTGCGGTGAGCTTAAGTGAATTTTGATGTTCAGTGGCAGCAATCTCCTCTGGATTTGTTAGTCCCATCCCTCCCAGTCTTGGTGGAAGTGCAAGAAGTGCTCTTTCTGCTGGGGTTAAGTCAGGGTGTTTCACTAATTTGGGAATGAACTTGACACTGATAGCTTCTTCCAGAGGGTGAAGGAGGGGTTCGATATCAGGGATAGTACGCATCAGGTAGTTCCAGCGATGCTTGGCTCCATGGGTGAATGCAGCAAAGGCCGCATGTGGCTCTGTGTTAGCAATATCAGGCAGAGCTTGGATTTCACTAACCCACTCATTCACCTTTCCCGCTACGTACTCGGTCTTGAAGTCCGTAGTGCCAATTACTGCGCCTAGATGTCTTTGGCCGTCCTTAGTTATTTTGACCTCACTTCCGCCAAAATCCTCCAATGCCTGTTCATAATGTTCTGGTTTCACGATGAGGAAGGACTTGCTGGCGTTTGGGTGGTACCCTATTTGTGGACCTCGCGATGTTACCAAGTCCCACCACTTTTTGATGCCCTCCACTTTTCCTGCTCCTGTAAGGTCATCAGCATATGCCACTTGTTTGACCCCAGTTGTTTCAAATTTTATTTCTTGTTGGAGCACTGATAGGCCTATTGCATACATTGCCATTGCAACAGGGTCCCCCTATGTTGTTCCCTCGGTCGACTGTAAGATGGTATCACCTCTTAGAGCCTTGTTGTTTACTATGTAGAGGTCTGATGGATTCCTATACGAATTTTCAACATACATCGCAAAGCTTGGACACTTGATCTTGATGTTGTGCAGTGCAGCCTTGCGGTTAAGTATGTTGAATGCGTTTGAAGCATCCACTAGGAGAACTGCCTCACAATCACGCTGCTCAAATATCAATCTCATGGCGTGAATGGTAGCTTCCCCACCAGCCTGGTGGCCAGCACACACTTGTAGGTTCCCTGCTGCTGCCCTGACATCATCCTTTACCACCTCCATTATGCATTTGCCGATGATCCGCCTCAGCACTTCCCCCACCCCTATAGGTCTACATCCTGGTTTCTTTTCCAGAGGAATAAGGCGGCAGGCCATCAGGGCCTGGAGGTGATGGCAGCAAGAGGATGCAAGCTTTCTTGCAAGGGCGGCAATGGCAGTGCAGCGATCGTTTGCTACAGGGCCAAACTTGTTTGTGCTGAGGATGACTCTCCAACCGTTTGCATACAGACCTGAAGGGCCGGCTCCTCCTCGAGTCTTCAGTGCCTTTTTCCACACCATCTCTCCTGTTATTTTCTCGAACAGGACAGCATTTGGTGGGATATAGTCACCCTGGAACCTGATGCCTTCGTCTTTGCTTGCAGGGGGATGTTTCTCTTTCAATAGTTTTAATGTCTCTCTGTTTATTGGCATCACCCCACCGGAGGATTCCTCTGTGAGAGATCTTACCGCAAGAGACACTTTTCCCACACGCATTTTGTTTCCAAATTTTCTTGCCACGTCATCGGTGTTTTGCTTTCCGTCACCCGTAAGTTTTAGTCTCTCCTGCAGTGTTCTTGCTTCACATAGGAGATCATCTAGGACCCCAGTCTGCCACATTTTCTCTTCATTGCCGCCACATTTTCTTTGTGCTTAGTCTTTGTGTGTGTCCTCTGACAAAATAGATGTGGTATTATTGCCAGTATTTGAAGAGCTAGAGGGGCGAGGAGGCGGTCCTGAGTGTAATCAGTCATGAAGCGAGTCATCTCCCGAATCATTTCTTTGGTGGCTGCACACTTGGGTGGTTCAAATAAGTTAGCGGGCGACCACTTGACAATTTCTGAGTAGGTTTCTTTGACCCATATGTCTGCATTTTCCATCGACATGCCATTCCACTGAGGTGGCTGTCTCTCATTCTCCTCGTGGACACCTGCTACTAAGGGAGCAGCATTTCTTCGTACTACATTTACGGGTTGAGTAGACTCACTGCTATCATTTCGGATATCATCGGGTAGTTGGGTCCCGGCGATATCCACTGTGGCCACCTGTGTCGGCTCCCTGCGACGTGGGTTCCGACACTGGTCTCGCTTCTTGCAATCCACACATGGTCGGTTGTTTCTCGCACAAACACAATTTGTGCAGTTTTGGTTCGGGTTAGCACAGACGCAGCAATGATTGTTACCAGGCATAGTGAACAGCACCTTGCGCGACAGTTACGTCCGCCTCCGAACATCTGATTTAGTCCCAGGCACAAGATAATACTGGTTCTTATGAGGGAAGGGCGGAGAGGTGACAGGCTGGACTGCTGTGTCCAGGTAGTAGGGGCATACGTGCGCGCGTGGGTGTGTAGGCTACCCCTCCCCCCAAGGGCGACCATCCATACGTCAGAATGATACACTATGGACAAGAATTTGTCACACCAAGCACTTGTTTATATATCCTTGGCACAAAGAACCACTATTTATATGGTCTCACTGGTGTAATATCACTTGGTTCGTCGAGACCCTACATGAAGTGTCCTACTATGGTGGGGGGGCGACCGCATGGGAGCACTCTCGGCCCCATAGGGGCGAGAGTCTCGAGACCACTCCTGTCAAAGTAGGCCTATCGACACTGACCTTGGCTCCGAGCCTTGCGTTATTCCACTGACCCAGCGCCGCCAGGTCACCACTCGCTTGGTGATCGCCGGTGAACACACGGAATATTTACAATTTATGCCGTAAGGGATGAGAAGAAACCTTGGGTGGCAATGCTTAGGGTGACATCCGATATTCACCGACACATTGTTAAATTCCCGCTCCCACACAACGAGTATATCCCCACCAATAACCCTTTAGATCAGGGAGGACGTTCCACGACACCCACGCCACGCCACGCTACTACTACTACTACTAATTTGCTGTCACTCGAAATCGAGTATGACGATCAACCAGTTATGATACAATGGTATGAGTTATTAAGGATGTCACCTACGTTGGTGAGTTTTGAGGTAACCAAAGAGGCCGACACGGGACCGGCAGGGTCGTTCACAGATGTTGCACGTGTGGGGGGCTACATCAAGTGCGGAAGTGGTGGTGGCAGCGTCTTTCCGGCGTTGGCGCTTGACTGCCTGATTATGCAGTCGGGCTAACTCGAAAGTACTGACACCTTCTTGTGTGTTGCTCCTCCAAGCGTTACAGTGTGGAGTAATCGTCTCCCAGGTGACAGGGTCGATTTGGGACTTTTTCAGGTTTGTCTTAAGACTATCCTTATACCATTTCCGTTGCCCGCCAGCATTACGTTTACTATTCGTTAAGTGACTGTAAAGTAGCTGCTTTGGTAGTCTACTGTCGTCCATGAGGATAACATGGCCAGTTCAGCGTAGTTGTTCATGGATTATGGAAGCCTCGATGCCCCTACAGTTAGTGTCAGCTAGAATACTGGCATTTGTTCTCCTGTCTTCCCAGCGAACTCGGAGGATGGAACGTAGACTACGTTGGTGAAAGTTTTCAAGTGCCTTGAGGTGCCTCCTGTATGTGACTCATGTCTCGCGGCCATATAGCAGGGTGGGGAGGACCACTGCTCGATATAGGTGTAACTTTGCAGATAGTTTCAGCTCTCTACAGCTGAAGACACGGTTTCGGAGCCTGCCAGAGGCTTGAGATGCACATCTGACCCGATGTTGAATCTCTTCTTCGATTTCCGCGGTGGTGGACAGATGGGAGCCGAGATACCGAAAGTGGGTAACATTAGAGAGGGTAGTACCGTTAAGTTGGAGGGATGGTGGA